TAGGCACTTCACTTCCCTGTGCCCGAATTTCCTCAGAAGCAAAACAGATTAAGAAAATTGACTTTTACCAAAGTAGAGTGAGAAACAGTTTTTGCCTCATGCTTTGAAACTTAGATAAATGTTGCTTTTTAAAAAAAAATCCCACAGTATTTACATATTTATTGAGACTTCTCTGTATTGGGCACAAGGATGCAAAGAGACTATGGACTGTCTGAAGGCACTGTGCTAGCCTTGTGCAGGTGGCCCCTTTGTGTGGCAAGGAAGCAGTGTCTTCAGGTCACCTCTGTCACTGTAGTTCTTTGGAGGGGGAGAAGCCAGGTGTATCAGGGCGGACACCTGCTGGCAGGCTATTAAGATGAATTCACAGGATGGTACTTGAAGGCTAAGCCGAGGATCTTCCTGCAAAGAGGTTTTATTTCATTTGCATTCATAAATGCTACTGAGGTTACTTTCTAATTATTACCTCCTTTCAAGCTCATAAGCCTTTCTCTTAGATGAAACAGACTAGATTATAACTTAGTTTGCCTCATTCATGTTTGTAGTAACAAGATATATTTGTTTTGTTTGTTTTTGTCTTTTGAAGAGGAGGGAGGTGTTTGGTGGCTGTCTATTGTTCTCCCTCTCCTATCAGTCCAAGAAGCATGTAGGGGAGCAGCAAAGGTGGAGACATCACTGCTGCTAATCCACATACCCTGTCCTCTAGGCAGGGATCCAGGGCTCAAGGGACAAGATATTAGCCTAGCAGTTTAATACATTCACGTCACATTCCATGTGACATTTTACAGATAGGAGGCAAGGTCAAACTTCTGTAAAAAGTTAGGTCCATATGGTGGGTCAAGGAGGATGTGTCTAAAATTTTAGCACCAGAGACTGATTCTTCTAGGAGGAGCTATCATTGCATGATATAGAATCAGAAGTGTGTACACTGTTGATTAAAATAATGATAATCAGGCTTCCCTGGTGGCGCAGTGGTTGAGAATCTGCCTGCTAATGCAGGGGACACGGGTTCGAGCCCTGGTCTGGGAGGATCCCACATGCCGCGGAGCAACAAAGCCCGTGAGCCACAACTACCGAGCCTGCGCGTCTGGAACCTGTGCTCCGCAATAAGAGAGGCCGCGATAGTGAGAGGCCCACGCACTGCGATGAAGAGTGGCCCGCGCTTCCCACAACTAGAGAAAGCCCTCGCACAGAAACGAAGACCCAACACAGCAAAAATTAATTAATTAATTAATAAACTCCCACCCCCAACATCAAAAAAATAATCATGATAATCATAATAATTCAAGGCTCACAAAGAACCTTTATGTCATATCTCATGTAAGGTTCACAACAATGTGCGTGTGTGTGTGTTTGTGTGTGTGTGTATAAAGTTCGCTAGAGCTGCTGTAACAAAGTACCACAAACAGTGACTTAAACAACAGGAGTTTATTGTCTCACAGTTCTGGAGGTTAGAAGTATTAAGTTGTTGGCAGGGTTGGTTCCTTCTGTTGGCTATGAGAGAAGGATCTGTTCCAGGCCTTTCTCCTTGGCTTGTAGATGGCTTGTCTTCATGTTCACATGACGTTCTCCCTGTGTGCATGTCTCTGTGTCCAAATTTCTCCTTTTTATAATGACGTCAGTCATATTTGATTAGGGCCCACCCTAATGACCTCATTTTAACTTGATTACCTCTGTGAGTACCCTCTCTCCAAAAAAGTCACATTCTGAGGTATTAGGGGTTAGGACTCCAACATATGAATTTTGGGAAGATACAACTCAACCCATAACTCTACCTATCTATATATGTATATATACAGTAAACTATAAAGAATGGTTCAATATCTGATATATTTCTATTAAATCTTAAAGACATTTTAATATGTGGATTTAAATAATCATTGAGCCATCATTGCATAACATTTCTAGAAAGTAGTGTTTTTGTCCTGTCTTACTCATGGCCTCATAAAGTTAACTAGTTTGTCCTGCACCAGAAATAATAGAAACACCTCTTATCCTCCCTCTACCCACTCATTTCCAGATTGCCAGGAGTGGTGTTCTACCCTACTCTTGTTTCTCTTTTATGGTAGAGGAACGTACCAGATTGTTTTAAATGCCTTTTATTTTTTATTTATTTTTTTAAACTTAACTTATTTATTTTATTTTTACTTTTTGGCCGTGCTGCACAGCTTGTAAGATCGTAGTTCCCTGACCAGGGATTGGACCCAGGCCCTCGGCAGTGAGAGCACAGAGTCCTAACCACTGGACCGCCAGGGAATTCCCTAAAATGCCTTTTAGAAAACCAGTGGAATCCAAATAAAGCATAAAGTTTAGTAAATAACAGTGTGTCAGTATTGGTTCATTAGTTGTGACAATGAACCAAGTGTAGTTGTCCCATAGTAAGGAAAGGGTAAGCAGTAGAGGAAACTGGGGCAGGGTGGGGTGGGGTGGGGTATATGGGAACTCTCTACTATCTTTGCAAGTTTTCTGTAAATCTAAAACTATTCAAAAATAAATTTATTTAAAGAATAAAAAACTTTTTATACTAGAAAGTAGTATATAGTATATATTATACAGTACATTAATGCTGTATTTAGAAATATCATATCATTGTTTTTATGCCATTGCTTGTATGTCTTATAATACAAAAGAACAGATTAATTGTGGCCTCTAGAGGACAGTGTTGAATCATAGAAAGATTTTCACAATCTGCCCAAGTTGAAGATGGACTTACACATGTTTTCTTGTTCCTTTTTTTAACCCCAAGGCCCCTGTTTGTTCATTATCCCTCTTTAGGAAAAAAAAAAAAAAAAAAAAAGCTGAGGAAAATGTATGCCTCATCTGCTATCCTGATTTATTGGAGATTTGCTTTAACTTATTATTTTTGTGGAGTTTTGGGTCTACACAGATCTATCAGGCCAGAATGACCTGCAACATTTTCACCCATGTTCAGAGCACCAAGGGCTTGTGGAAGTTGTGCAGGAGTGTGGCGATGGGGGGGAAGCATTATGAGGGACATAGTGTGTGTTTGTGAATTCTCATGTGATGGAGAGAGTGCTATAGAGTTGAACTCCCTTTAGAAAAACTAAAAACAGTTGGTAGATTAATGAGGATGCTCAAAAATTAAAGAGGAGCTTTGATCTTTCAAGGTCAAGACTGTTTGCTCTGCAGTGGTTTGTTGGGGGTAGGGAAAGGGAAACAAACCATTGCTCTAGCTTCTGGAACAGATTTCTGGATTAATTAGAATAGAAACTCAACATTTTAATTTAAAAATTATCTCTCCAGAGGCAGTCTCATGAGATTGACATTTTATTTTTAAGAGGCTTGCGGGCTTGGGAGTTACAGAGTGCTACTCAAGCACATCGGAGCCATATGAACCTTAATTTGCAAAAAGCTTGCCTTGGATCTAGAGGCAGCTGAAAATAATTGTTCATGTATTGGTGGGCTCAGAAGTTCTGAAACACGTCATTCTGTCATTAGATGGATGACATTTTTTGCCGATAGTGGAGTTCAAGGGCTTCACTCATACTACGTAAGAATCTAGTGTAAACATTCAAACATAGTTGTCATTTGATGACAGTGTGTTCCGCTTAGCAGCACCTATGGATTTCTTATCTTTTGCTCAAAGAATAAATCTTTAAAAATCTCCACTGTTGGACTGGGATGTGTGAGCCTTTTAATAGAATTTTTGAAACGGAGTGGAAAATTTACAGCCCCTCATAAATAGCGTGACATGAAAGTTAAAATCAATAGCGTATTGGTAGCCACACCATCAAAGTTGAACCTTGTGGGCATGAGGCTTCCTCATTCTCATCTGATGGTGCTGGGTACCAAAAATTCTTTCTTAGGTATTGTCTTCTCTTAATTAGTGGTGATATAACAATGTTCCACAGGCCATCTGGTTATTTAATAAATATTACAAGGATTCGATAGATATTTTAGTCCTTGAGATTGAAATTGGTCCCCTAACCTGGTCTCTTACCCAGTGTTCCTTATCTCAGGGAAGAACATTACTCCATCCCATTTGTGCAAGTCAGAATCCTGGGAGTTGTTCTAGACTCCTGTTTTTTTCTCATCCTTGCACATAATAGATGCTTTGCCAGGTTTTATTGGTTTTACTTCTTAAATATTTCTTGAAAGCACCCACTTCTCTCTCCATGGCCACCACTCTAATCCAAGCCCTTGTCATATCTGCTTAGACTACAGCAGAAGCTGCCTCACCTACAACCAGTGTGATCTTTCAGACACACATCTATGAGAACTTCCGTGATTTAGGGTAGCAGTGTCTTAGGATAATAACCAAAGTCACTTTCAAGGATGGTAACGCCCTGCACGTTCTGATCCCTGTTTCTCTCTCGAGCCTCATCTGAAAACATTCTCCTCCCTGTGCTCAAGCTTCTTGGCCTCCAGTGCATCCCACAGGGTCTTGTAATTTCATCTACCTGGGACTGTCTTCCCTGCTGTCTTTGTCTGATTGTCTTCTACCCTCCTTTATAAATCACCTCAAGTGTGATTTCTTCATGAATGCCTTTCCTGATGATTTGGCCCAGAAAAGTTCTCTTTATTCTATGCTCCTTTACTTCATTGTACTTAACATAAACTTATAATTAGACACTCAGCTTTGTTGTTTGTTGATGGATATATGTCTCTACTACCAGCATATAAATTCTGTCAGTAGGGACCATGCCCAAGTATGCTCACTATCAAATCCCCAGCACTTGGCACAGTGCTTGGAAAAAAGTAGTTGTTCAATACATTTGTTGAATGAATAAGTGGCTTTTTCGTTTTCTTTTTTTTTTTTTTGCGGTACGCGGGCCTCTCACTGCTGTGGCCCCTCCCGCTGCAGAGCACAGGCTCCGGACGCGCAGACTCAGCGGCCATGGCTCACGGGCCCAGCCGCTCCGCGGCACGCAGGATCTTCCCGGACCGGGGCACGAACCCGCGTCCCCTGCATCGGCAGGCGGACTCTCAACCACTGCGCCACAAGGCAAGCCCTAAGTGGCTATTTTTTATTGAATGTTTAGGTGGAGGAAGAAGAACCCACTGGATACATTCGATTTGAAAAATTTCTTCCAGTGATGACTGAAGTACTACTGGAAAGAAGGTAAGAAAATAAGTGCAATTGTTAAGGTAAGGTAATGGTTGGACTTGCATTAATTTCAAAACACTTGGCCTTTTCACTTTATATGTTATACTCAACCAATATTTATCATAGGATAGCTTCCTTCTAATTTTTCTCTAGACTTCTGAACTGCTGGTTGGTATGTGCTCCGAAGGATCAACCACTTCAGTATTAATCTAATAAGCAAAGTGTAATTAAAGGGCAAATAAGCTGCAAAAAGCATAAATCAACAACATTCTTATTATCTTCTGTTCTGAACTATCAATGATAAATAAGAATCAACCCTAATTATTTTTCTAGAGAAAGTGTAGCATTAGCTTACCGTAGTGGGTTTACTGTAGAAATTTTGTTCCCAAATAAACAAAAATAACCAGTCACTTTCATGGATGGTAACACCCTGCACGTTCTGGTCCCTTTTTCTCTCTCCAGCATCATCTGAAAACATTCTCTTCCTTTCTCCCTATGCTCCAGCCTCCTGGCCTCCAATGCATCCCACAGGATCTTAGTGCATGTAATTTCATCTACCTGGGAGGAGATAATAATGGGAACAAGTTTTGTTCGGATTATTTTCCACAATAATGAAAAAGCTAATAGATAGCATCAAACATGCCAGTGATTTTTAACTAAGTGTTCCTTGTGGCTGTGGAGTACTTTCAACTTTATTATCTAGATATCCAAAAATATTTCAGTGAGGGAAGTATTATTAAATATCCTAGTATGTTAGCAGCTTTTTTTTTTAAATGTGATCATTTGTTACGTAGAGACTGAGCTAAATACTGTGGCATTTACTCCTTTTATTGCATAATTAGATATAGACCAATTCCAGAAGATATCCTTCATCGAGCTTTTGAGGTGTGTAAATTCCAGATTTTATATATATTTATATTTACATGAAAAATTCATCACGTAGAATCTATTCACCAAACAAAAAATATAATATCTATCTTTTCTTTTCCCCTAGGTCTTAGATCCAGCTAAACGTGGGTTTCTTTCTAAGGAAGAATTGATCAAATATATGACTGAAGCAGGTGAGAGCGATTTATTACTTACCTTATAACAGTAACTTACCTAAGTGATTAATAATTTTAAAACAATGAGGCAAAAATTCTAGGGGATACTTTAAAATCAGTCATTCCAGTTAAAAGGAGTTATTTACTCTTATTATTTTGGTTTTGGTGTGGTTTCCGTTTTGTAGGGGGTAAGAGAACAAAGAGTAAGTTAAGGGGAGATGGATTATTGCCTTATAGGATTTTGTAAAGTATAATGATACTTCTATAAATTGAAGTCATTCCATTCACTTAGAGTATTTCCAGAATAAAGGGTATGCCACCAGGAAAACATGAACTATCAATCACTATAAATCAATGCTTGTTACTAGATTGAAGATTTGAATTGGAGTCTATAAGAATTCCATTTATAAAAACTTTTCAGTTGGTGAAGTTAGGGATAATACAGCCTCAAATAAATGTGAATTCACATAAAATTTTTCAGTTTTTTATGCTAATGGTACCATATATATTTTCTTTGCACTTTAACTGTACACACATGCATGCACACACACATATACATACATATACATGCACACCTATATATGTCAACATATTTCCTTTAGGAATTCTCTCTGCTTAGGCTGATGTGTAAATTTGTTTTCCCTGAATGTCAGTAGCCTAATGGACATTCTTTTGAAGCCATTCTCATATTGGTCACTTCCCCTCTTCCTATATAAAGTTAGAGCTCCGTCTCTGTTCAGTTCACTAGTTCATAGATGAGTCCTGAATGATTCAGAGTTGCTAATCACTTGAGACAATCAGAAGTGCAGGGAATTTTGAGTCGGGAAGATTAAGACTGCATCTCCATGTGCCACTGATTGGACCATTTTTGACCTGATCCACCATTAGGTGAGAATACAAGGAGTGAGAGTAAGAGTGGCATGATTGTCATAACTGCCATCCAAGAACCCATGACCTTGTTAAAATTGTCTTAGGGGCTAACTTTGATGGAAGTGTTATGTTTCAAAGCACCAACATAGGAATTACTTTAAGGGAAGTAAATTCTAGGTTATATTAGGTAATACGGATTTCGTCAAAACAGCCAAAACAGTTCAATGTCATTAGTATGACATGCCCACTGTGTAGGTGAGGGATACTAAGCACAGCGAGAGGTAATGATACTAAAATCGGCTCCCTTTCTCAAGGAAATTATAGTCTTATTGGAGGAAATAAAACCAATGTTTAAAACAATTCAAAATATAAGACAGTAGAAAAAAGTGAGTATCAGAAGATCAATGTGGGCTGGACCAGCCTGGAAAGCTTGGTCTGGGAAGACTTAAAGAGAGAATAGGTTTGTTAAGATGGTAGAATTACCTGGGGGGGGGGGGGGTGTTATTGAGAGCAGGGGTAAAATCTTCTGCATTGTAGCACCTCCCACGCATAGTAAGTCTCAGCAAATGTTGGTTGAATTAACGAATGAGTGAGGAGATGAATGTAGAATGGGTGAAGGGGCTGATGAGGGGGAGACATAGATTGATAGAAAGTATGAACAAAAACTGGGAGGTGGGAATGAGCACAATATTTCGGGAGCCTGTGAGAAGACAGGGCCCAGAGGGTCTTGTTGGCAAACGGTAGGAAATGAATCTAGGTCGATTGACTGGGATTAGATTGCGGAGGCCGGGGCTCAGGAGAATTCATCCTACGGGCAATGGAGAAGCATTGTAGGGTTCTGAGCAGGTGAATCACACAATGCAAGAGAGATTGTGGGAAGGTTAATCTGGTGCTGGTAGGTTTGTGAGATGATCGAGAAAGAGGAGAGACTGGGGAGACCAATTAGGAGGCTAGTTCAGCATTTTGAAGGGCTGTATCTGGCAGTAGCAATGGGAATGGAAAGAAGGGATTGATACAATAGGACTGTCTACAGAAGGATCCACAGGTTATGATGAGTGACAGAGTGCCGGGAACAAAGATGGGAGCTGAGTCAAAAGTAACAAGGCTTTGGCCTGGACGATGGGTATTACGGTAATGCTACTGACTGAAATAGAGCAATCAGAAACAGACTGCAGTGGATACAGAGACAGTGTAACTTTTCACAGTGTCCACAGAATATTAATCACTTTGAGAATATGCATTCTAAATGCCCAGGATGTTGTATGGTGAATGTAATAAATCACATAGAATCAAGTTCCTACAAGATAGAAGTCCACATGTGTCCAGGTATGTGTATTGTGTCAGACAGCATTTAGCAGCAGGGAAGATCTTGAAAAAAACTTTTTGGACAAACACATATTGCTGCCTATGTGCCAGGCAATATTCTAAGTGCTATTCAAATAATAACACTTAATTCTCATAACAAGCCTATGAGATAGGTAGTATTACTATCATCTGCGTTTTATAGACAGGAAAACTGAGAAACAGAGAGGTTAAGTGACTTGCCTGGGATCTTAAAGCTAATGAGACAGTAGAGCATTTGAACCCAGGCAGTCTGGCTCCCAAGCTTGTGCTTTTAATCCTTAAGCTATTTTCCTCCCATCCTTAATCAAATACTGTGTATCTCTTTCCTTGCCTGCGGAAGCAGTGACCACCTTCCGTATTTTTTTTTTTTTTGCGGTACGCGGGCCTCTCACTGTTGTGGCCTCTCCCGTTGCGGAGCATAGGCTCCGGACGTGCAGGCTCAGCGGCCGTGGCTCACGGGCCTAGCCGCTCCGCGGCATGTGGGATCTTCCCGGACTGGGGCATGAACCCGTGTCCCCTGCATCGGCAGGCGGACTCTCAACCACTGCGCCACCAGGGAAGCCTACCTTCCGTATTTCACTGTGAGCAAAACCTTGTTCCAAGCAGTCAAGTGTGGTTCCTGGACCTTGAGTTGGACTGCTGGCATGCAGATCCAGTTCCACCACCCACTGGCTGGGGCTGCCTGCCTGTTTTCTTTGTGTGCTGGTGTCCTCAGCTGTAAGTGGGGATAATAGTTCTTACCTCTCATGAGGTGGTTGGGAGATTAACTTAATATCTGTGAAGCACTAAGATCAGTGCCTGGCACATGGTAGTTCTCGATAAATGTTTATTGTCAGTATTCTCATAAGGACTTACATGCCCAGCAAAGTTCATTGGCAGTGGATTTAGTATTTAACAATCAGGTTATAAGAAAGATTCAGAAATTGTCTTTTGGGGCTTCCCTGGTGGCGTGGTGGTTAAGAATCCGCCTGGCAATGCAGGGGACACGGGTTTGAGCCCTGGTCCGGGAAGATCCCACATGCCGTGGAGCAACTAAGCCTGTGTGCCACAACTACTGAGCCTGTGCTTTAGAGCCCGCAAGCCACAACTGCTGAAGCCCGGGCGCCTAGAGCCCGTGCGCCGCCCCAAGGAGTAGCCCCTGCTCTCAGCAACTAGAGAAAACCCGTGTGCAGCAGCGAAGACCCAGTGCAGCTAAAAAATTAAATAAATGAATAAATTAAAAAAAAAAAAAAGAAATTGTCTTTTTAGGCATTTTGGGCAATTTTTCTTTCCTTAGGACGTAAACATGATTTCAGAAGAACTCAAGCACGTTCCCATTGTTTGGTAATACTATCATCATTGTCATAAAAATCCCCACTTGAATAATTTCTTTATTATTAACTGAATTCCACCTTAGAAAGCGTTGTTTGTAGTGGCAGGTGACAAACTCAGAAATTTACCTGCTTGGATTAAGACTCTTTAGGGGTGAGCTGGCGATTTGGATGTTTCTGTATTTTTGTTTAATATCAGCACAAAGTTCTATCTTAACTAGATGACAGTGTTTCCAATGTTCTTCCTGAATTTGCTTTTCATCTTGGTGAAACCAATATCCAAGATGGCCTTCAGCTATTACCTGAATCCAGCTAAAGCCCACAGATTTTCTATCCAGCTTGTGGTTTCATTTGACAGCAGCACTGGGCCAAACTATAACAAAGAGGACTGTTTTGAACTGGCTGATGAATGCATCTGTCACTGGGTGCAGCTGGATCACTAAATTGATGTACCCTGGTTAGAGAATATTCATAGACATTGTCATAGCTTAAACCTCTGTTATCTCTTCTTCAGCATTTCTGCACAGCAACCAGTTAATCCTTTCTTCACACCCTTTACTAAATATAATGCTTAGACTCCCTGTAAAACTATGACTTCAGGTTAATCCTTTGGCGATTTTAGTGGTTTTAATTTAAGTAAATAAACAACCTTCTTTATGATGTTTTCATGTCCTCTTGCTGTTTTGGCTGAAACGATTGTTTCTTTAGGTTGCTTGAGATACGATACCTGCAAGGTAAAATAACTCCAGAATTTGCCAGGGGTCCAACAGCATGCTCTTTGAACCTCTGGACTGTCACATGTGCTGGCTTTATGGCCCCAGGGAGAGTAACTAGAGACACAATGGGGGATGGTGGGGCTCCACGGCAATTAAGTGGGCTAGTGGAAAGAGAAAGAAAAAAAATCAGAGGATTGTAAATGATGAGTTTTCCTTCTTGTTCCTCCCAGGTGAGCCTTTTTCTCGGGAGGAAATGGAAGAAATGTTGTCTGCTGCAATTGATCCAGAATCGAATTCAGTTCATTACAAGGACTATATAACAATGATGGTGATAGATGAAAATTAAACACTCTACAGACTTCATTTCTAATTAAAAGATCATTTTAAGAATTGCTTGTCCTTGTTAATTTCACATTTTATTTTATAATTCCTACATATTGCTAATTAATGCCTTGTGACAACTATTTCAAGATATTTTGTTTTTTAAAGGTGATCATAACAGTTTAAAACACAAATTTATTTAGTATGTCTAGCCCTATGGAATGACAAACTGCTAATTATTTTAAAACTATTCTTAAAATATTTAACATTATCCATGGATTGTTACCAATTTTCTACAATAAAACCCAGGTTACTTTCAAATTAATTAAGCTGACAAAATGAAGAATGATTAGAATGACCCAAAGTTTTGCATGTAAAGATCTTGGGTTGGGGCAGAATGACCATAAATTGAAAATGAGTAGTAATGTGATGACAGCTTCTTTTTAAAACAGCAAACACTTCAGCAATCAGAATGTGGAAGGAAAGTCATTGAAACAGATATTAATAATTAATTTCTTATGAGTGCCAATTATAAACCTCATTTGAGATGATAGTAACTTAGCATAAAAATTTAAATTTGCTGATCTAGCATGTTACCTACCATTTATGAAATAGCTAAAGGAGTTGAGATAATTGAACCTTGAGAAAAGAAGACTGATTGGAAATTGGTAATGTAAGGAAGTGGCAATTCTCTTGTGGTCTTTAGAATTCTTAACCTATTCAGAATACCTATCATGAGAATATCGTCCTGAATACTGAGTAAGAAAATTGAGAAATGTTATGGGGTGCAGGAGGTACAGCTGTTGAAAGAGCGGGATAAAGTTATCTGAGCACAAAGAATCACAATGGAGAAGCAAAGAGGAAAGTAAGATAAAGGAAAATGAATAATCTTCCATAACCTGTATCATTCTTTCATAAACACACACACACACACACACCACACACACACACACACACACACACACACACACACACACACAGTGATCTCTATTTAAAGATGCTTCACCACTACATGTGCCTATATATACATATAAACATTTAATGCCGCTTGTGATTCTTCCTCCTAGGCATGCAGGGGGCTGCTACTTAAGAGACTCTATCATTGTTCATTCATTCATTCATGAAACATTTACTGAGAATTATTAGATAATGTACTAGGAGCTGGAGTTGCACAGTGAATCAGTCCCTAACTAGTCGAGATCACAGTTTAGTGAGGGAGACCTGCAAGTCACTCAGCAACCACATTTCAGACAGGGCACATGCAGGGCCTCTAGTTGCTTTCTGAGTGAAGAGGACGGTGGTAGGTTACAGAGCTTGAGGAGAATGGTAAAATTTGGAAATATCTCTTGTGGGAAATGGGAGAAAGAGTTGAGAAAGAGCCCATGTAAGAATTTCAAGAAATCCTGGAAGATTTTGTTCAGTAACTCGGGCCCACGAGCAAAAATGATGGATTGTTGTATTGATTCAGGGTTAAGGTTTGTCATCTGAGTGAGATGGAGGCAACCAAAGGTCAAGGGAGTAGAGGAATTCACAAGAAAGCAGTTGTAACAATGCTCTCTGGAGTCTGAGTAGTAGAGATACATATAGGTAGGAGTGGGCTCTCAGACCGAGAGATGGAGGCAGGGCCTCAGGACCTCGAAAGGAGCAAACAGCTGTGCAGGGGGAGCGAGAGATGATGGGCTTTCCTGCCATTCCTGAGTAATTACATGCTTTGCCTCAAATTTGACTTCACTGTGTTTTTAGAGTGTTCCTTCATTCTCCTATGTTATTATTATAATTAATAATAATAGCTAACATCTGGGGACTGCTCACTATGTGCCGGGCACTGATATAAGTGCTTTTTATATTATATATTAGCTGATTTAATCCTCCCAGCCACCCAGCGATATGGGTCACAGCTATAAGGGGTTGTGTTCATCAGTTTGTGCTAGGTTATGCTGTGATACCGAACAACTCAAGAGCTCAGGGCTTACTACAATAAGAGTTCTTTTTTGTTCACGTTTTGTGTTACCTGGCGTCGGCTGGGCCTCTGCTTCATGTGTCGTCTTCGTGCAGCTCACCTACGTCCTAAGCAGGGTGACCATGTGTCTTGGGTTAACCAGGGTGGTCTCAGCCTACATTTGTTGTCCCAGTGTAGTTGTTAATAGATCTCCCTCTTAGAAGTGTCCTGGTTTAAATGATTAATATGTGGTCATCCCATTTGAAAAGTAGTGAATAAAAATGATGCTGAGGAATCGTCATTTATAGAAGGTTTTATGAAAAATAACCACAGAAGTGTAGTAATGGGAGGCATTTCTTCCTTCACTAGTGTCCCGAGATTATGCCGGGGTGAGAGCCAAGTGGAGGCCTGATGTGCCACTCACTCAGCCGTGCTTGTTAGAATCACCACCCAGAGATGAACACGAGCCACATGCCCTTAGGCCAGGGCAGAGAAGTATGAGGCAGGGGGAGTGGTGACCCCCAGAGCTTTAACAGACAGGTGGCTTATGATAGGCAACACACTGCAGCCGGAAAGGAGGGTGCCAGAGACGTGAACACCCTTGAAGGTGGAAGTATACCCAGGGGCATATCATTTAGCAGCAGCGGCCGGCACCAACATGTAGCGTGAAAGCGTGTGCTGGTGCCCAACGCGTAAGCCCAGGCATGGACTTGTTCGGAGCCCACAAGGCAGCTCTGAGTTGTCTTCTCTAAGCCCGTTACCCTGCATGACCCTGGTCATACCAGAGAAATGCAGGCTGGTGAATTAGCCCCAGTCACTTCATAAATGGTGATATCATATTGTTTTCTCGGGAAGGATGCCTCAGGATTGGGTACCCCCAGGTCTCACCTTCCAGAATTCTTTCAAAAGCTCTGACTGATGTCAGACTTCACACCCCGTCTCAAGGAAATACTATCTCTTCAGTAGTCATAAGAGTTAGCTTTATGGAATATGATTCACTTTAGCACAAATTTGTTTTTATAAGGCCATGAAAAAGTACAACAGGCTTCCCACAGAAATCTCATCTTTATCTCCTAGCTGCAGAATAAATGTAGCATATTTGCAAAAGGAACACTTTTCTTGGGGGCTTCCCTGGTGGCGCAGTGGTTTAGAGTCCGCCTGCCGCTCCAGGGGACGCGGGTTCGTGCCCCGGTCCGGGAAGATCCCACATGCCGCGGAGCGGCTGGGCCCGTGAGCCATGGCCGCTGAGCCTGCGCGTCCGGAGCCTGTGCTCCGCAACGGGAGAGGCCACAGCAGTGAGAGGCCCGTGTACCGCAAAAAAAAAAAAAAAGGAACACTTTTCTTTATACTCTAACCATTTTGATTCATATTTTACCTCTTTTCACTCATCTTATCCCTCAGCATCCAACTTAAATCACAAGGGCATTTTCCTGGCAAGAAGAGTGCTTGGTCTCCTGTGTAGATAGTTTGCTTGTCCTTATGACTCTGGGCTTCTGCAAAGCCTGCCATACCAGGCCCTATGGAGAGACAGGTCCGTTCTCACACGTCTGGGCTGGGGAAGCTGCATGACTCAGGGTTCAAGGTGCAGGCCTGGCAGTCTGGAGATTCTTGCACCCTGACCTAGGCTTTGCTCGTGACTCACTCTGGATCAGGTGCTTCCCTCCTGTGCACCTCTGCCTGGAAAGTAAAGAGCCCAACTCTAGTTCTTCTTCCACCTTCCAAAAGCAGGGCAGATATAGTCCCCTTTGCCTCTACCAAATGTCCAAGTGTCCAATGGTAAGAGATTAAGAAGAATATCTGAGACGACAGGCTGGTTGGGATTTTCACTGGCAGGATTATTTTCTGTGGCATGAGGTGCATTTAGGGCTTTCTCTCCTTCCTTCCTGCTTTCCTTTCTTTCCCTTTTCTAACTGCTTCCAGTTAAGAAAGTACCTTGTTTATATAGCCAATTCCCTATAGAAGATCCATGTCACTACATTGCCCCTTCTGGGCAGGTTAAGTAAGCAGAGATCCTCGTGGTAACATGTGCCCTGCCTGTGCCAGGCGTGGCTGTCTCTGAGGGCTGTACCTAGTGAAAGTGTAGATTACTAATCACCTGCTTAGATGCACCTGGGAGGGGGTGCTTGTTAGAAATTCAGACTCCTGGGTCCCATTCCAGACCCCTAGAACAGACTCTCTGGAGGTGGGACCCAGGAACCGACATTTTCACAGATATTCCCAGGGGAGCCTTACGCATGCTACAGTGTAAGAACCACTGTCTGGGGCAGTGTAATATTGTGAAAGTGTGGGATTTGGAACTGGGCTCTGCCACTTAGTGCTTAGGTGATTGGTGCACATGTTTAATATTGCTGGGTCTCTGCGTCTTATTCGTAAAGTGGAAAGAACACCTACCTTACAGGGCTGGTGTGTAGATGAGATAATGAAAGTGAAAATTCTTTAAAGATTAAAGTGTGACAGAAATGATTATTTACAGGAAAACAGCAAGGGAGGGAGAGAGGAAGGGAAGGAGCAAAAGGAGAAAGAGAGGGCGTGGGAAGGAAGGGAGAGACAGACAGATAGGCCAACCTGCTGTCTGCGTATAGACAGTCAGGAGTGTGGGACTGTAGGTAGATAATAATATGATCTATGGGGTTAAGGTGATGAGCCACCTGAGGTACTGGTGGAGATACCAGGAGATTCACTATTGTGGTGTTATTAGTTATAAGCGGTCACGTTTCTTTCTAGAATGTGCAATTAGGAGATTTTAGGAGGTGGTTTGTCGTTTTTTTTTAATTGTAGTAAAAACCAGCTGGTGTAAAATTTACCATCTCAGACATATTTAAGTGCACAGTTCAGTAGTGTTAATAAGTATATTCACATTGTTGTAAAATAGATCTCCAGAACTTTCTCATCTTACAAATCTGAAATACTATACCCATCAACCAGCTCCCCTTTCTCCCTGCCCCCAGCTCCCGGCAACACCATGCTACTTTGTTTCTATGAGTTGGACTACTCTGGGTATCTCATATAAGTGGAATCATACAGTGTTTGTCCTTCTGTGACTGGCTTATTTCAATTAGCATAATGTCCTCAGGGTTCAACCATGATGTAGCATGTGACAGAGTTTCCTTCCTCTTTTTTTTTTTTTTTTTTTTTGCGGTACACGGGCCTCTCACTGCTGTGGCCTCTCCCGTTGCGGAGCACAGGCTCCGGACGCGCAGGCTCAGCGGCCATGGCTCACGGGCCCAGCCGCTCCGCGGCATGTGGGATCTTCCCGGACCGGGGCACGAACCCACGTCCCCTGCATCGGCAGGCAGACTCTCAACCACTGCGCCACCAGGGAAGCCCCTCCTTCCTTTTAAAAGCTGAATAATATTCCCTTATTTGTACATACCACATTTTGTTTATGCGTTCATCCATTGGTGGACACTTGAGTTGCTTTCACCTCTTGCCTATTGTGAATAATACTGCTGTGAATATGAGTGTGCAGGTATCTTTTTGAGACCCTACTTTCAATTCTTTTGGATATATATCGGTAAGTGAGATTGCTGGATCTTTCTTCTTTAAAAAAAAAAAAATTGCTGTCAGTCA